ATGTACTAATTATTGGATATACAAGTTTAGGTCGACAAAAGAAAACTAAAAGCCTTGGAAAAATATCTCAAGTTATTTTTGTATGTCCGGAGGATCATGACATAGCCTTGTGCCGGGTCCACAAACTTGTATCTATTCTTTATCATTCTAATTATTTCGTCAAGTATATATATTTTTTATCTGAATCATTTTCGTTCTATAATCAGAACCGTTATTAAGCATTGGTTTCAACAGACTCCAACTTAAAGTATGACACACACTAAAAAGATATTTATTTTAAAAAAATATTGGCCAAAATATCATCATCCCTAATTAATATGGTTGGGATCTAAAAGAAGTTAGCCTGCAGAAAGCAAGTATTGCTGGCTAGACATATGTTAGTCCCTTTTATTTTTCGAATCGGACATAATCATACCTCAAAAGTCATAACCGCTCCTTATTGACATTTCATCTTTATCATATCATATCTAAAATGAAGGGGAATCCGGAATCAAACACTTTCATACATTGTCGTCGGCAGAAACTTGGGCTGTATTTCTAGAAGTAGATAGAGATAAAACCACGTTTTTCCAAAGAAAAAAGAGAGTAAAACGATGTAATACTTTTAGGAAACGTACTAGACAGGGAACGTTATCATTAATACATAGGACAAATCTATTCCAGAAATGAATTTGCTGGAAGTCGTCTGCGCTTTGTACTATCCATCTTATTCTAACTACTTATTTGTGTAATTAATATTTTCCGATTTTTTAACCAGACATTAGGACCTTAATTAGAGTAGTTCTCAAAATATAATAAATAAAAATTAAATAGTGCTAGTGATTCCATAATCGTTTTTGTTGAAGATTATCTACTATTTAAATATAGTTATTTTAGTAATGTATTGTACAAAGTTGTTTTACCAATTTAAGATAACAATATCCGCACAATACAAAATTACCGGATTCTCTCTCTATATTGAACTTGGTTCATTCTTTTATGGCAAGCGGATAGTGCTAACTTAGCTGAGTCTCTGGATAACGGTTTTGGGTTGTTGTGTTTACCCCTATTTAAGCTAAGATAGTGTATGTGTTTAAATTTTATTTTCGTTCTCCGTTTCTTGTTATCCTTTGTAATTCTTTCAAAAACATAAAAGTTTAGGGGAGAATTTCAATTATACCACTTTGGTGGTACCACTTTTCATGTTTACCATCAACAAAGGAACATTTTCAAAAATACACATTTTATTAAAGGATAAAAGACTCTTATATCTTTATTCTTTATATATATATAAAATAAATATTAAATAAAATATTAACCCTAAACCCTAAAATATCAATTCTAAACTCTAGACCCTAAAAGTAAACCCTAAACCCTAAAATATCAATTCTAAACCTTAAATCCTAAACTCTAAACCCTAAAAAGTAAACCCTAAACCCTAAAAAATCAACACTAAACCCTAAACTATCAATCCTAAACCCAAAACCCTAAACACAAAATTCTAATAGTATTTTGACTATTAAAATTTTAATGGTAAAGTTGGTTAGTGTAAAGTTGAAAAGTGGTATCTTGAAAATGTTATTTCTGGCAATTTCCCAAAGTTTAGTAATGATATCTTTACATTTTTACCAAAAAAATTATATCCAATTTTATTGATCAATTTCAATACATTGTTCTCTTAAAAAAGTTCTTATAAAAAGTTGGTTGCTCATATTTCCATTCGATATCAACCAACTTGATATAGTATGTATCTTTGTTTTTTTGTCATGAGATATAGTATGTAACTCAGTTGTTATTTAGAATATTTTTTTTGTCACCAGACATTTATTTTGTATGTGTTTACTTTAGATTTTACAATAAATATTTTGAAAGAATTTTTTACACACACACACACACATACATACACACACACACACACACACACACACACACACACACACACACACACACACACACACACACACACACACACACACACATATATATATATATATATATTGTAGCGTAGATTTTTTTTACATTTCCTTAAATTCATTATTTGAAATAAAATTTTTTTATATATTTTACAAAATCTGCACTAAACTGTCTTATGTAATTAT